ATGTACAATAAATGTGTATGAATTTGAATTTTGTGATCGATTCTCATCCAATCAGCAGCCTTGTGACATGAAATTATGAAGTTCCTGCTATCGTGAGTTTGCTCGTAGCTACGATGTGTTTCTGTCAACGTTACTCTCGTAACATTAACATTAGTCGTAAGTGTTATCGTAGCATTAACATTAGTCGTAAGTGTTATCGTAGCATTAACATTAGTCGTAAGTGTTATCGTAGCATTAACATTAGCATTAAATTTACGATGTTTCTGACAACGGCCCCCTAGTTTTTTCACATAAAAAACGAACAAATTAACAAATGTATTCATGCAGCCGGACTAATATCTGCACGATCGGTATAGGCCTATAGAGGATTAACTATATATTTCTTTTCATTAAGGACTACCATGGGAAGCTGTGAAAGCTTTCGACCTGCCACCTGGTGTGAATCCTATCATAGAGGTCAGCGATCGGTCAACGATGATCTCAGGGCGTCCAGCCGAGTTTGAGAAGGCAGTCGAAGCATTAACGTCACAGGGCGTCTTTGTCAGACAGATGGGACCTAACATGGGTGCACACAACATTGATGTGATGGCCCCAGCGCTGCCTGGGTTAAAGAAGGCACTACAGGAGGTGAGGCTGAATGACAGGTTAACACAAGGAAGAATTAGTTAACACAACTAAAGCTCATTGCATCGTCTATAATTTGGTGAGTAGAAGAAGAAGGAAAGACGAAGAATTAACGGGAGGAAATCATGATAAGCTGATAGAATTCGAAGGCATAAAAAATATCGGAGTGTCAGCAGAGAAGCACGTGCATGTTCGCGCAAGTGTCTTTACGCTAATCATGGGCGTTGTTTGGAATTTTTCGTAGGTGATTCCGAGCCCACGGCGGGCATCCCATCGGTGGATTAGCACAGTGTGGTCCGAGGAGGAGTGGGACACCAGAGGTCGCCTCTGCTCACCGGACTACGTATTGACAAATCTCGTAAGAATAGCTCGCTATTTCACACATTGTTGTCGCTCATTCTCTGTTGTTATTCTATGTCTGTAGATTACTTATGAGTGAGATATGATGACATTTTGTGCGTCTATATCAGGCTGCATGAGCGTGTCTGCGTGTACTCATGCATGCGCGTGTGTGTGTGTGTGTGTGTGTGTGTGTGTGTGTGTGTGTGTGTGTGTTTCTCTCTTGGTCTCTCTCTCTCTCGGTTTCTCTCTCGGTCTCTCTCTCTCTCTCTCTCTGTTGCTCTCTTGGTCTCTCTCTCTTTCTCTCTCTCTCTCTCTCTCTCTCTCGCCCGCTCTCTCTCTCTCTTTTTCGCTCATGGTCTGTGTCTCGCTGACACACTCACTGACATATACAGTCATTGATACCCCTTGCAATACGCACTCTCTATATTCTCCCATCTCCGTCTCTATCACCGCCGCTTGCTCTAAACATGTGTGAGCACGAATTTACAATCATCTCGATCACAGCTCGCATAAACATTGTTGTCATATCACACTCGATCGCGTCTTCCGTGCGTTCGCGCGTTGCTAGTATACGCGTACTCTTATTAGAACATCCCGCTTTCATCCAAAGCTTTCCAGCTTTTAATAAAAACCGCGCTCAGGCAACGTAGCGACGCATTTCGTGTGAGCGCAGCGGGCACGCATCAAAATTATTCATTCGTAAGCGTGTTAGAGATATATGAGAGTTATGTACGCACCGTCCTACTGGTGTCCGCCTACTGCGAATTTACTGGAAGAACCGCTTGCAAATATTCATGATATTAAGTACTCTGTGTGCACATGCTATGGATGCATTATGCAAAATCGAGGCTAGAATCTAAACTATGCGACACGTACCGAAAGATGGAGAGCTTGAAAGCATGCGAGACGGAAGATTAATGATGACGTAACAGTGTATAGACAAACGTCGAGAAGCTGCGTCATAGTACGACCGTATACGAGCAGCGTCGTATCTGTTCCTCTGCTGCGCGTAAAAACGTAGCTTTTCTTTCAGCACAACAACGAGCTCGCTCGTAGCAAATTATCTATAATGACAATGACATTACTGCCCGTTTTAACGTAAGAACGGCAGAGAGAGAGAGAGAGAAAGAAAGAGAGAGTGTGTGTGTGTGTGTATGTGTGTGTGTGTGTGACTTTGTGCGTGTGTGTGTGTGTGTGTGTGTGTGTGTGTGTGTGTGTGTGTGTGTGTGTGTGTGTGTGTGTGTGTGTATGTGTGTGTGTGGGGGGTGTGCGTGTGTGTGTGTGTGTGTGT